GTGTGTGTGTGTGTGTGTGTGTGTGTGTTATTTTTGTTTTTTTGTGTGTGTGTTATTTTTGTTTTTGGTGGTTTTCTCTCACTTATTCTATCTTTGCTATCCAAGTCTCCTCCTCCCCCCCCCCACGACCTTTGTGTGCGAAGTATGTTAATGAATGTATGCTTTTGAAGGCGTAACCATCTGCTGGTGTTTGTACTTATATACAAATCGGTGTATACCTGTTTAACATATTGGTTCGTATTGTTTACTGTTTTGCACCAGTGCATAATTAATGGTTTATGAACAAACACGGCTAAAACAAGGGAGGAGATTCATTCCTTAATAGTTAATAGTGGGTTATTGAAAACAGCGGGTTATCTTCCTCTTTGCATCAAAGTAAGTTGTCCATTGAGTTCATAATACACAAGCGAGCAAAAGAAACGCAAAATCCTGTTTACCTTTGCAATGGTGATCATGTTCGTTTTCCATTTGTAACAAAATGGGGGAATTTGAACACAAACTGTTTTTTTGTATTATGAAAGGATTTGTGGGGCATCACTTTGAATATTGGATTTTAGCGAAATACATTTTCAACTTCCAGTTAATGCATCAAAATGCTCAGTAGTGGTTTTGGTTACAATTAGATCGGATAACGGCCGTGGATCTCCGGTACAAGGAAGTCACTGATAAAACATAACGGGATCTGCCTCCACATCTCCCTCATGGTCACACCCAGTCCATTCGTGGTTCTCGGCCTTGGTTGTCTCCTCTCGGTGCGTCGTTTGATTTTGTCCTAAAAATGCTTAATTGGGATTAAATCCGAGATAAAGAGAGGGTGAGGCTGCAGAGTTATACCACGGTGTTGGAGGAAATCCTGTATAACACGGAAAGTGTTCACACCAATATTATCTGGCTGGAACCGGAAGTTAACATTTGACTGTGTAGAGGGGCCTAAGAACTTTTGCTATGCAACGGGCAGCATTAACACCTTGACCTCGATCTTGGCCTTGATTTGGAAAGATCATCGGTCCTATTTTGTGTTTCCACATATTCCCACCCCAGACCATGACGCAATGTCTTTCCCAGCAATTCCTTTCTATGACACAGTTGTCACAATAACGTTCGCCTTCCTCTTGATAAACTCTGAGGTTCCTGTTTATTGTATCTAAGGAGAACAGTATTCGTCCGAAAATGAGAACCAAAGACCAGTCTCTCAGACGGCTGTTGACATGGTGCTGGGCAGAATTGAAACGCTCTTGGAGATGGTGTGCGGTTAAGACTGGATCATGGTAAGGTTGACGGCGACGAAGGCTTACCTGAGGCAATCGTCGGTTTACTGTGTGTCGACTTATGGCTTTTCCATGGGTACCCCTTATGAAATATGATGTTCTTATACATGTCTGAGGTCGATCTGAGCGATACATCCGGACAATGTACAAACGTATTTGTATGCACGAGCATCGGTCTCTCTGGGTTGACCTGACCTTTTTCGGTCCGACGTTGAAAATTCGTAAGTTGAAAACCGGTTATGAGATTGTGGATTGTCGAGATGTGAACACCACAATGATAGGCCTTTCTCCATCCTCCAAATGGCCTATTGCTCTTTCTTGATGTATAGCCCTTTAATGTGGCATTATCGTGGTAAATGCAGGCGAAACAACCGTACCGATTTTTTACCACGGCCTTTATAGCTTAGTTCAGGAGAATACTTTTCATCCTTTTTTCACCCATTTAGAACGTGTTTCGAAGGAACCACTTGGCTTTTTCCACACTTCAATTAAGGGACAATAACTCTAGTTGCCGGTGACAAGCCAGACAGGAAACTTTTTATTTCCAAAGACAATATGACATGCTATCGATTGTGTAAACTTAAGTCTTCTACCGTGCTGATGTCCAAGACGAATAAAGACCTATTGTTTCCTTCTCCAAGGTGTGAAACAACATCACTGGAGGGTGAAACAACGCTGAAACGGCCTTTGTTGTCCAGTATTCACAACGTCTTCGTGTTGTTGGCTGCATGTTGCAATAGCGGCCAGCGTGTCATAAGGATTCCATTGAGCCAACTCTGCCCTGAGTATCAAAACAAATAAAATTACCCTGAAGCTACACGTGCTTACTAAAATCAACAACCTTTTGTCATTATTGAAATCCAAACAGTGAGGGTATGGGGGAGGGATGTAGGACAATACAGATAATTAAGAGCAAGATAGTGTTCCGATACTATAATCTTGAGCATGAAATTCCTCACAAGAATAGAAAATACTCACTTTAAAACTACATTTCAAGTTCCACATAAAAAAAGCAGAAATCTGTAGATTCTGTGTGGGTGCGTGTGTGTATGCGTATGCTTGAGTGTGTATGTGAGAGAATCGTGTGAGAGACGAGACTGAGAGTGGGTCTGCCTGCGAGTTTGTTTCTCGGTTTATTTGAGTGGTGAAAAATGGAATTTCACAGAAAACGTAATGCTGGTAAAAATTAAAAAAACAACAACCTAACTAACCAACGAAAACGAAGGACGGGCTTTTCAGAGTACGAATTGAGGGGAAAGTTTATCTAAGTAAACAGCACTTGGTGGGACTTGTTCTCCATATGATATAACAAAAACCAAACTTTTTAATCTTTACGCCGCTAAATTTTGTTACATTTTTTTTCCGTTCGATGTTGGCTCACTGAGAGAAAGTCCCTGGAGCAAATGATCTTTTAAAAAATGGGATACATGCTTGGGGCTAAAAAAAAGAGGATTAACTCAGCCAGGTCAGTTGTTTTTTAATAGTAGATGTCTCCGTGGCTAGCATTTTTCTGTGACTGAT